AATCTTCATGCTTCACAGTGAATTCGTTAAATTCAGACCAACGAGTTAGAATCAAATGATCTACATTTCTAACTTCAATCAATCTTTTGTTTCATGCAATGATTATTTGACTTATCACTAATAGCTGTTTTTACACTGGTGCTTTTGAACTCCATTAGTCACCGTTTTTCATTAGAAGTTAAACGCTGATAAAACTATCATTATTAAGATAGGCTTATGGAGATTATTGAAAAACTAGTACAAAATCACGGAATGACCCTGACTAAATAGGTATGTTGATGTTGAAGATATGAATATTAGTATGTCAACTCGTCAGTCTAAAAATACTAAATCTCCACAAAACCCCTTCTGATAACATATTTATATCCTTAATATTTTTAACAGCAGACACAAATTGTTGCAGATAGAGTTATAATAAAGTTTCTAAATCTTTTACTTACTTACACTTGTTACCCCCAATGGAGCATAGGTCACAGACCAGCATTCTCTAGCCCAATCTCTTCTGGACCTTCCTTTTTAGTTCTATTTAATTGTTGTTCATTCTTGTCATATCTATTTCCGTTTCTCGGCGTTATGTGTTCTTTGATCTTTCTCTCCTCCTTTGGCCTTGAGGATTCCATGTGAAGGCTTGCCTTGTGATATAGTTGGGTGCTTTCCTCAATGCATATCCTATCCTTTTAAAAGTTTGTTAAAGGAAGTGTAGAGAATACTAGATATTTATGATGAATGACTATTCCAATTATTATACAATTTAAATACTTTATTACTGTTTTCATAGTTGCAAGTGTGAGTCAATTGAAGCTAGACCATCATAGAAAACCTGGAAACAGTACACATCCACGACCTCGCCCCGCGAGATTCGAACCTAGGACCTACCAGTCTCGCGCCAGAGCACTTAATCTGTAAACCACTGAGCCGGCTGGCATCCAACGGTGTTAATGTCTAACTTCAACTGATCCACGAAGTTGAGCAACCGTTCACCAATTGTCTTCAGTGAGTTCCTATCTCACAACAGACGTGGTTTGAACTCCACTGGTCACTGCTTCTCACTAGAACTCCAGGATTTACCTCTCGAAGTCAGTCACTAGTGAGCATATTATTACTATTTGTTTCAATTTTTCATTATTGTTTAATATAGTACTATATTATTGATTTCGAATTTGTACTTTGATTTCTGTTGTTTTGTTAGATTTACTTATTATTGTGTTATTTCTTACTCATATTGACCATTTAATAACTAAATCAACTCAACTTGGATTATATTTAAAACAAAATACAAGACAAATAATCTGGTAATGAACTATTGAATGTCTGTCTGTTTGTTTGTTTGTTTTTTTGAATGGCAGCTTTAAAATTCATGGTTTAAAATGAGCAGTCTGATAACTCTTTTGGTTATACAGTCAGTCAACTATTTCATGAAGCTTCACTTTTTATATTGAAATGGTATAGCTTATTACATGTGTTTAAGTTTTCGAGATATATGTATGAAATCTGTAATTTTTACCTAATTCAGTTGGTTCTGGATCAACATGAGCTACTTATACTTAAGGCTATTTGATGAGTTCATTTGTTTAGATTGTAATAACAAATAACTGCCTAAGATAAATCATAACGTTTACATTTGATAATGATATTAATCTTGTTAGTTTTACTCTTTAGAATTAGCGAAGAAGAATGGAAAGCGTTCTTCACTAGTTCATCATATGACATAGCATGAAAGGCTTTTCCTCCTGTAAATAATCTGTTTAAAAGTCCTTAATTACTCTACCTCTGCCCATAATCAAATATACGTGTCTTTTTAATTATCATCGGGTTTTTTATTTCTAAGCCTGGTAAAAACTGTTATAAGATACTTGGAGATTAGTATTACCTGATTCCATCATATTCAATGTATCTTCAACTTCTTGACTTCATTGCACCATAGACAATCACTAAAACTTTCACAAGGACATAACTGATTGTAATAAATGCTTTGATTATAAAACGGACCATCTTGTAAAAGTCTTGGATTGAAAAATGCGTAAATAATAAAAAAAATTATTGATTCCATTTTAATGAAGTATCATTTTTCATTTCGATAATTATGGAGAGTACAAATCTTACATATTATTACGTAATTCACACTTTGGGTTGCAAGTAACAATCTAAACAATAATTTCTTAGTACCCAATCCATAACACAAATAGTGTATTTATCATTCTAATTGAAGTTTTATCAGTCGATAGACTAATATTTACACTAATGAATTGTGATTAAAAAGAAAGCATTACTAAACTGAGATAACGATGCAGTGAAATGCCTCAGGGTCGTTCAACATTATTGAGCTTGATTGAAACTACACGAATTTGTATGAAATGCATTATTTTATTAATAGAACGCTTATTCATACTTAGTAAACATTAGTAAGCAAAGTGTAAATATGCTAGTGGTCAAAGTAACAAAGATAATTGCCTCAAATTTGTCCCCACAAAATAAAAAAAACAATTAACTAAACGTCCGGATTAGATAGGATTCGATGATATAGGAAACAATTAAATAATACTATGTACCGAATTCGAATAGGGGTTAGTAAGTGTATATGTACGGATAGAATGCCATCTAAAGATGTTTAATTTACTTTCATTGCAATTAAATATATTCACATTGAATAATCACAAACGTACTTACTTTGATCAATTTTCATCTAAAGTGGTTTTATTTACTATAGAAGTTTCTTGTTCTACTACATGACTTATTTTGAATAGCTTTGCCATAAATACCGTAATGGCAACACACGAAGATGAGATGTAATCTAGAAACTAAATGTCAAGCTAAGGAGTTTGTGCGTTTACCTCTATAATAATGTGTACCATATAATTTACAGAATTTGCAAATGTTACTGTTATAAAGTAAATTTGAAGAGGAAATGAAATCTAAAGTTTCAAATTGAAGATTATTATTTAAAATTTTATAGCATAGGATCAAAGAACTTCTTAACTGCGCGTATTTTAATTTTTGTTGTAGTTATTTCTTCAATTCTGATTTTAGACTAGCAAAGTGAGAGAGAGTTCCCGTCGACCATGAAAATTTGATTTTTTACACCTTGAAATGAGCAACGAATGATATTATTAATCATGTGTCTATTGCTGATTAGCTGAAGCAGTAACTTCCCAAGTCCTGCTGAGACTTATAGATCTCAATTATATCGAAGATGACACAGATACCACAAATGTCATCATTTACCTGTTTCATAATATCACAAATTGACTGCGGTTTTAAATATTAACACTTTGCTCGTGATTTAATGATATGAAAGTATCGTAGCCAGCGTTCCGTCTGTTGTACCCGGGTTCAAGCGAATATCATGTTGAAGGTTATAAAGCTATAGAAATCTCAAAAAATGGCTACCCTGTGCTTTTTGAGTTTCGAGGTTTCCTGGGTTTATATTTTTCTGATGTGGAAACTAGTTTTTGGACCATCAATTGAGAAACCTGTGCTTTCGACCAAGTACTGAATTTAGTACTCCATACTTATTTTGATAGGTACATTTTGAACGTGATCATTAACACTGTAAACAACAAACATAAAATCGATTATTCTGAATTGACAGATGAACCTGGAAAAATATCATGTGACGTGTTTTCACTCACAATTAAATTGGTTTTTCCTGTAACTTATCTCTATGTTCTTTAGGTAACGGATTAGACTGCTGCATTCAAGCTTAAAATCACCTGAAAAATATCATAGTAATTAAAAAATGTAACTTATATCCCATATCAAACTATAGAAATCTTAATTCATTTCTGAGTTAAATAACCCTAGAAAACATGAATTTTAATTCTGTAGTTGATTTGAATTTGATGTCCAGGTCGTCTTACTAAAGTAATACATTAAAAATATATGACGTGAAAATAACATAAAGTTCTTACAAGCAGAATCTAATACATGAGGGTAAGAAAAGAACTCATTACCTCTCACATTTCTGATGCATTATAAATGGTTAATGTTTTAATTGTTTATGATGTGGCAGTGACCATCTATTTAAAATTTCTGGGACGGTTTCGAAAATCATGACGAAACCTCCAGTGGCTCTAAAAGAAGCGAAGAGATTCCAGCCAGTCAGATTCTTATACAGGTTTCTAGAATATATACGTGGTATTTTACGACTGGATGACAGCATAACTTGTCTTCTTGCGGATCCGCTGGACTATAATGATGTTATAGCCAATACTAATAACAATAAATGCTCTTGTTTTTCTGTACACTTTTTATTATTACTCAATGATTACTTCTCATGCTTTTTCCGTCTTCTGAAATACGACTTTGGGGTCCTGTATGTCCGAGTGCCGTTAGTTTTATATCGTATTCTGCCATAATTGGGTGGAGCATGCAATAAAAATCAATCGGTTGGTTTATGATAACAAATTTAAAGTGTGGACGTAAATTATCTAGAAAATTACAGTTAACTTGGCCGTGACTTAATAGGTGCGAGAAGTGTGAAGGAACAAATATATATATGTGGTCTAGGATTTCTGAAGTTAATCTGATAGTTGATGTTACAATTAATAAATTTATTTCCTTTGGTAGGAAGCCACTCAGTCGAACGTTTTCTAAACGTTGAAGTCATCAAACAACGGAGTTTAATTTTCCATCATTACCTGTTAAAAATTTAAAAAAAAACATGGAGCAAAGTCGATTGAGTGGCTAAATTATGCTGCAGAGAAAAATCCAAAGCCAGTGTAATAAAACAGGATTTTAAAGGGGGATATGACTTGGTTTCAAAGTTGAGTAGGCAACTGTGGACATCCATTGAGTATTTTAAAGTGAGAACTAGTCTATCTCACACACGTTGCAAACTACATATACAACTTGATTAACTCTTATCTAGAAGTGTATCAGACTGGAAAAGACCCCGGTGTCTTGTCAGCTACAGTCTAAAATTATATGTTGCATGCAACAATGTATGGTTAGGGAAAGCCGTGTACACGTAACTTCGAGGAACGCTATTGGAAAGCATGACATTTAATTCCGGGCGACTTTGTTTAACTTTTTAGAGTAGAGAGACACAGTGTTGCATCCCTTCTGAAGGAAAAGAATACTCTACAGTCTATTCTAAGTTGAGTCGGTTGGAGGACTGAAATTGGGACTTAATGAGAACACTGTTGGTTGTTGAATCTTTACTCATTAGAGTATAAAGACGTTAGAGGAGATATTTGTGATCTAGAAAATCGGACACTCGTCTGAGAATCCTTTGAGATACTAAATAAGCTTAATTATAGCACTAGACGCATAGACAATACTTGGAAACTATGGAAAGAATATGAGAAATCTGAATTTATTTACACTTTCCGTACAAGTATTCATGTATGAGAATTAATTACCAGCTGAAGCGGTTTCATAAAATTGTGAAGATTCTTTCAAGTGGAAACATAATGCATTCCTTCAGACTGGGGAAAGTATTTTTAATTTATTTACTGGTACTTGTCTGCTTGTTTGAAACAGATGCTCGAGTAGGTTAAGTTTTTACCTTACCGTCGACTAGCATTTGAACCTAAATATAACATGGATATACAGTGCTTAACAACGCTTTTGTCTGTAACTTCTTTTTATAAGACACGTACGAAGCTATTTACTTTAGGGATTTATTTGGTGTTATTAACTATTATGACCTCACCGTTGACTTTTATAATTTAAAACCGTGATCCAACACGAAGGTACGAATGAATGAAAGTCGTTTGTCTTAAAATATCCTGTTACGTGTAGATATATTTTACTGATTATTGAACATTGACTGAGTCGCATAATTGTTCCTCTTTAAAGCCAGTGAATCAGCATTTTTATACGATTTCTGTAGTTTCTTGGTTCGTCGCTGCTGCGAAACCTTTTTATCTGAGCACTGCCATGGGATTATGTCAAGTCACCTCTTTCCGAATTTCTGGTACAGTCGCCCGCAATACAGAAACAAAAATCAACAGATATAAGAAGACAGAAATATGAAACCCCGTTGAGACTAACCGTAGCGATCTACACCAGTTTTTGTTCAAATCGTCAAGCACAGGCTCAGCCGAACAGTCAACTATGTGACCCTACTTTTATGCTCATATACCAACGAAATTACTGATAAAAAAGAATTTCCGCTATGAAGACCAAAACTGGTTAACGAAAGACAGGTCCTGTCAGTCCAATGTACTCATTGAATGAGAAAGCTAAATGATACCGTTTAACGTCATATTCTTCAACTTCACTGAAGTCATTGGCACAATAATTCATATTTCTCATAATGAAGTTTGCAAAGATGGGTTTCATCGGCCCTCTTTCATCCTGATTGTGAAACTACCTGGAGAACAGGATATTTCATATAAAGGTGAGTAGAATCCACGAGAGTCAGAAGGTCTAACATCAGTAGTTTCACAAGGAGATATCTTAGGTCCAGTCCTGTTACTGATCTCTACAACAACATGTTAGATGAAGGTAACTCGACTGCACTGATCTATTCGGATGCGACAGAGTTCTGGAGGTCCATGAAAAGCGAAAATGATTCATTTGAGCTCCGAGAAGCTCTTACAACAATGGAGTTGACGGCAGACAAAGTGTGAAACTCAGCTTATCGAAATAAAGTACTATGATAATTCTGCCCCATTCAGCACAAAACTCTTGTCTCATCAATCAAAATTAACTTAGGATGGTTTTCAATGAGTTTAGACATCAGCTCAAATAACATGTAAGATGCAGGCGAGGCAAACTCATCTCTGAAATTTATGTGTAGACAACTTGGTACATTTATTCCAGAGTTGCTCAGAAGACTGATTAAAGGGTATGCAGGGCCCCTCCTTGAAGTTCACAATGTCGTTAGGCCTCCTTACTTCAAAACAGACGTCATCCTCCCAAACAAGCCCAGAAATAGGAAACCTGGTGGCCATAAAGAAAGTGTTACGAAGCCAGACTACGACACTTGTGATTATTTTCGTTGAGCTTTAGGAGGATGAAAGGTGATTTGATAGTGACATATTACATATTAAGTACCCCAAGACAACCAAATGCGTACATATTACCAGAACTTCATCATCACTCTCCTCAAGGCTGCCTATGGTAAGAAGTTTAGGTGCCCTCTCACTTTTTCTGAATAAGAGTTTCTCCCATTCAGAATACTCTCCTAGGTAAAGTGTACACTGACCATCTAATCGATAGCCTCAGGAAGGGACTAGGCAATCACAAAAAACATCCATGATTTGTCATCCCTCAATTGAACTTACAGTATCAGAAGCATGTCTCCTAACTTACTTACGGTTGTGATTGCCTATATCAATATATTCCTTCTACCTCACTAACCGTCATTTGCGTTTTACGTTTTATTCATTCAATTCCGTCTTCATACACATTAACAATTAATGTACTCGTTTATTTATACTCAAAATAATCGTCTTCTCTTAGCTATCAAACTATCACTTTACTAGTTCAACATTGCAATGAACCATTATTCTGCCTGAGAATGTGACAGCTGTTGGCATCCAATAACCCTATCGCTCTGAGATAAACGCATGCATCCAGAAATGATATACAAATTCATGAATAACTAACAAACTGACTTGAACTGGTGCAGTAGAGTGGCTATACTACTGTCCAAAAGACATCAAAAATTTCTGGCGCCGTAATAAAATAACAAAAAGCGAGCGCAAACAAATAAATAAATTTGTACAATCCCGTGAAAAAGTATTGGATATTGAATAAACAAGTGTAATAAAACCTTGACATGACTTCTTTGTTTGAAATATGGATGTGATTCTGTGGGTTGTATGTTATTTTGTTCTTTTCAAAAAATCAGCCGTCAAATCTTACTGTTTTGTGTTTAGCGAATCGATAAACGCTAGCTGATCAGTTGAACTGTACAGTTAAAGGCGCACATAAAATGATAATCTAAGTTGTTGCAGAGTTTTTTCATGAAATTTCAGGTTCAAATTCAAATGAATTGGACTGCTTATGGCTTGTTATTATCATTTAACGACATGTTTCACTATTTCTCGAAATAGCTGTCAACTAGAATAAAATATAGGTCTCGGACATTCCAATATTTTTCTGAGACTACCTTGTGGTGTATAGATATTTAATAACTGCTTGTGAATCAGGTTCTTTCATTGCTTAAAATGGAGAAATAGAAGTTTTTGATTTAAAATCATAGACTGAAAATTTCCTGCAGACTGCAAGCATAGTTTGTTTAGTGTGTGTAAAGCGCTAGAGTAGAGGTTTAAGCACGACCGTCTGATGCGACCAACACGAGTTCACTAATTGCTTAATCCTTCAATATTCACAGTGGATATACCACAGGTATTGTAGTTTTGCAACACTTTACCAGTAACAACTTCTATAATTGCATCTCGCCCACCCCGTGAAATCAAAAGTCAGAAGCGATGAGGTAGGAAGACGTATTCATAGATTATCAATATGTCGTGGGGTGACTGGTCTAATCTGACTAGTGATCGCGGGAGGCTTTGCGCACGCCGTTCCAAAACGTGATCTGATGCGGATGCATGATCGAGTGTCTTCAGCTTGGTGAATCCATTGAAATTAATGTGGTCAGTATCCAATCTCGAACACTTAAAGAGCCATTGATTTTGGAGATTTATATACAGCTACAACAGCTTCATAATTTTAAACAAAGTTCACTAGTCATCTAGTGACTATTACTTCAACTTCTCCGATTTTCCCTAAACTAGCGTGAACCTTATACTTAGGCACTTACGGCCAGATATATTAGTGCTTTCCACACTTCGCTATGAAAACTAAATGGTCCAACATCAAAACGTCAATCATATAAACTTGTTTGTCTTGTTGTAGCTAAATTCATGAAAATGAGAAGCTGTTATTTTTCAGTCAAATATGAAACTTCTATTCTAGCTCATATATAAACATCTTCTCTAGTAACGTAAATTTCTTAGTGTTACTGAGTAAAGACTGTGGTTGGCTGGTAACTTATCATAATTCTACTAGTTAATTACCCCATTGGTGTCAAAGGTGTGTTTAGTGCAATTGACTCAGTTTGTGTTGAGTCCTTTACTTCAGCGATCAATTCATCTAGATAGAAGTATCTAATAAAAGAGTTCTCTTTCAAAATACTGTTAGGTGTTGACGGTTTATTTTTAAAATCGGTCTAAATGGTCGAGTGCCTTGAAAAACGAAATTGGTAACACTTAATCACTATTTGACGTGTGCATAAGTTAAGTAGCAAGGACATGAGAGTAGTTAACGTTATAAAATTTCACTGTAAAAAGTAATATATAGCATTGAGATTAGATATTAATAGCGACGATCAGTTAGGAATATGATGAATTGGTAATTAATTGAATCGTTGTCCATGTCAGATATCATTATTAGGCTGCTTCAAATAAAAGTTATGCAACATCACCATCAAAGCTCATATGACTGCGTAAATTTACGAAAAGCTATTATAAAAGATTCACAACGTTGTTTGTTGTGTAGTTATTACCGAAACATGTATAACTTCGTTTATTGCTTTAATTATTTTGTCTCAATAAGTAAGCGTCTTTTGGTTATTTAGATAAGGTTACTGAAATAATGGCGCGTTATGCTTAGTTACTAAATGTTTCAAGGTGTATATAGACAAATGTCTTAATCTTGGTGTTTACCTGACTACATAACTTGTTTTGCGAACATTTTGGCTTTCCATTAAACGTTCTACACACTGAAAACTTCGAAGCTTTATGGTGTTTCACGATCACATGTATTAAGTTCACTTAAGATTATTATTGTATTCTGTGATGCATCGGTGGTTGTACTTGCACCTTTGAATAGCATAGAAATCAACTTGATTGAACGATACTTACGTAATACAATAATTTTTTCCGCAATATTCTGTTAGACGATGGATTTTCAATGTCTTTTGCTACAAGCGTAAATCCAGATACAAATCAATCAATCAAATTTGAGAAACTATTTCATGGGATCTTGAACTTTCATATGAAGGAAATAAGTGGAAACTATAGCCGTGAAACTCAAAACTACTCAAAATTGGGCAAAATACCTATTGTGCATATAACATCTAGTAACTTACCAATCAATCAAAATGAAATGTTAAATGGAAAAATTGCTCAATACAATCAGTTACTAAACGTAACAATTATAAATAACTTAAAGTCAGATGAAATTCACACTATTCCTGAATTCGGGAAATTAAATCATGCATCTTGTTCTCCGAAGTTTTTACATTATCCAACATTTAAAAATAAAGACTTGTCAGGAGGTTTCTTATATATCCCACTACATTACGTTTATTATGACTCGGACTCTGCTGATAACTCTAACAAGGAACATCTATTTAGAATAATTAACAAAAACTCACTTTGTCCAAGATTAGGAGAAAATCCTATGGAAACATCTGACAGAAGTACTATATATCATCATTCTATGAATATTAGGTAAGTAGTACCCTTTAAGATGAATTTTGACCCAAATGTTGTCATGACGTTTGTCAGTTCAAAAACGTTTTAAAACCCAAACTCAACTGAAATATCAGATTTCAGTTATTTAGAACACTTACCATCATTCATTTTCCAGTAGAACATCATCACCATTCGAAATTTGAGTTTCTAGACGTGTAGTAATGAGAATGAAAACATGCTAAAAAAGTCTGCACACGAAACAACACTAAACCATCAACATTTTGTTGGTCGTTGTGAGCCTGGTGTACAATTGGTGTGATTAAGTTTATCTTTCTTATTTACTCAATGTAAATCAGCCTACTGTTACCTTCAGCGTTTGCTCTTTTAGAATAACTAACATAATTTGGGTCCTGAATAAAGATGGTTCCTTTTACATTCTGTTATTGGTTCACGAAATGTTCAATACTATTCTATCAGTTATCCTTAATGCAGCCATATTAACAAGTAACCTAGATAGTTCGTGCAGCAGTTTCGGTAGAAATAATTTGTAGGTGACTGAAACTTGTAACAAATGAAATCCATTTGCTTTCAAAATTAAAGAGAATTGTTGTGTAAAGTTTCTATTTGAACTGGATAGACAGCCAATACTCCTTGAAATCGAATACTCACCTGTTAAAATCTCATGCAAAAAATTATTGTATCTTGGTCATTAGGTTATTTTATTGCTGAATTTTCAAGTCTCCAAGTTGAAGCAAATTTTCCAGGCTTTTATAACAAACATAGAACTGTGCAAGTTGTGCAGATAAAAGAGTGGATCGTCTTTCGCTATCACCATGTCAAGTTTAAGTCAAAGCCTATCAAAAAATGACATTTCCTTTATTTCGTAATATTAAGGCATGTTCATGACATTTTTCACGATAGAAACGGAGATTCATAATGTCTGTATGCTTGTTAATTACATTCTTGACTGCGATTTTACTTTTTTAAATACAGATCAGAAGTGACTGGATTATTCGATTTATGATAACATTTACAACTCGGAAAGATTACTGTTTTTGTTAAGTGACTTTTAATAAATATTTAATAGTAAAAAAATAGGGAAATATGAGCAAGAGTTTTAATTGATCTTAAAACGCTTTTGTCAAGAGTGACAGTAAAATGACAGACCTCATGTACAATGCATCCAAGCCAACAGTAGTTTTTAAATCATTTCTTTCTTTCTGTTTCTTTACATAGAAAATTAGCCCCCCATACTGTAATGTATTGGTCAAATGGAACTGCCAGTTATATCAATAGACCAACAGTACCTTATTCCATTGATCAACTCCCTGTTTATTTATCTTCACGGGCAAACTTTCAAAAAAGTACACATGTTTGTCATAACTGTTATATGCGTCAAAGTAAGTCTATAAACGGTGAATTCCAACCAATGATTGTTCACGATATGACGTATTCACAGACAAATAACGGTTGTTTAAACTTGTTATTTATAAAACTGAGAAGATTTACGAAACTAATTCAAAAAATTTTAACATCTCAAACAATTGTTTGTTCTAAAGCTTTCAAAAGTTACAGTGTTAAAAAGTCTATACTAAGTGACTATAAACAGGAGGATGTGAAGTTTTTTGGGAATAATCAATTCAAGACAACCAAGTCAAAACATTTGGTTAAGTAATAATTAGGCATTATATCTAAGATTCATCGGATGGTTACAGTTCATATGGAAAATCTCAAGTTATGTAATTTTATTAACTGATTTAATATTGAAGAAACTTCTTATCAACTGATGTATTAAACCAAGCTTCGACGATTTTATGTCTACAAATAATGTAAATATATTCTTATAAACACTTTGTTTTTAGCTTTTTTTCAAATGATTGTCGTGTATGTGTTAAAAAATATATCTTGTTAAATAAGTTTTAGGATTCATTATTTAATTGATATTTTCATAGTTGAAAGCATGAGTCAATTGAAGCTAGACCACCATGGAAAATCTGGAAGCACTGGACGGCCGTTTCGTCCTATTGTGGTACTCCTCAGCAGTGCGCATCCAAGATCTCGCCTCGCGAGATTCGAACCTAGGGCCTACCAGTCTCGTGACAGAGCACTTTACCGATATATTAATAATGGTGGTAATTAAAAACTTTTTCCCGTACCATGCAAGTTGTACAGTACTTCTAAAGAAATGAAATAATTAAAGCAAATGAAACTATGGGTTTAAATACGTTTTGGCACAAAGAGTAAAACTTGTATTTTTTAAATATGTATTTGTACTTAGTTATGTAGTTGGGGATAAGTGAAAGCGAAATGAATTGTTGATAAACTGGCTGTTTGGGCTATCTCAATTGGTATCTGCAAGGTTTTTTTTATCCATGGAGCAGTTTATTACAGCAACACAAACTATGCTCTTCCCAAATACAAACAAGGATACTAATAGGTGGGATTTCCAGTAAGTAAATGAAAATTGACTGATAGCTGTAATACTAAACACATGTTCGACTTCGGTTATCCGTCTCCACCAAAATATTCAGTTAAAAGTATTTATAAAATCAAACAATCTGATTCTTAGAAAAGCTGAAAAAGTTTTACATAGAGTATACTTTGAAATTTTATTATTTCAAGCTTTTTTTCTGTGTTTAGACAAGATATATTCAATTTTTTATATAACCATCTTCCTAGTACTATTGTCTTTATTTTGTAACTTGTTTTTAGATTTTATTTATCTCTGTGTTCTTCATATTCGTCAAGTGGTCAGTTATTGTCCAAATCTTTCCTCCATGTGTTATTTACTTTACTTACTACACAAAATATATTTAGCACTCGGAAACATTTGATTATCTGTTGATGTCTTTGTTAATAAAACAATAGCTTCCTATTTTATTATAGACCCTTACTTGCAAAACTAACTGAACATATGACCGTACAGCTTTACTCTGTGACATCACTGAAAAAAAATTTTATTTGCTGAATCATCTTCATTTTATTCAGTGATACATAATCAGTGGGTAAGAAGAGTTCAAACTTCGGTGTACAAATGAACTATTTTCTGAATTTTCATGAATATTTATTACAGAGCTCGCTCAAATCATGACGTAACAAAATTTAAGAAATGAACTGTGTTTTTGACATGCAACTGCCAATACCTATATAAATTGTTTGTTCAGTGAATTCAACTATTATTTCAGTAAAAATGCCAATAAACTACGTTTTTAGATAGGTAGTAATGTTGAGTACTCCAGGCAGTCAATTATCCTAATTTTATAGCAGCTATAATGTAGTTTACCTTTCTAAAAATTATCCATCTCATATTACACTTCTACTCTTTCTGTCGTACTTGTTGCAGTAAAGTTGTTATATACTTTTTTACTTGTCTACTTTCTGGTTGTTCATCGTTTACTTGCACAAAGATTTACTTATTAAGTCGTTTGAATCAAGGTTTTTTTGCTACTTATGACTTACTAATAGGATCAAATTGCTGATTGGTATGAAAAGTGTTCGAATAGTAATCGTCAACACGAGGTGACATCAACTAGGGAAAATTTTAAACCCAGAGATCACTAAAGGGTTGTTTTATTTACATTTGAAACTACCTGAACTCATTACCTCTCCACCCTACACAAACCGTATCTGAGATCTGTGGGGATCGTTACCTTCATACTGTTAATTTCTGTTCTAAACATAAGTTTATTCATGGCAAACATCAATTTCCAGTTGGTGTTTTGACGAATTGCTGTCCTAGTAAATATATTGGAAACAAAATTTCACGAATCGTATCTTAGAATTTTAAAACACATATCAGTTTATAATAAATTAACTACTATTATTTTTGATGTCTACATACAACTATTTTTTTTATTTTCACCAATTAACGACTGTCTTAGAAAGATGTCATTTAATGGAAGACTGAAAGTATGCAAGTTACCAATAAGAATAAGAGCTTTATTTTGAATTGTATGTTTTCTTGGACAAGTACTGGTTCGTTTTTTTTTCGAATTAATAGTTCAATTATTAGCTGACTGATCTTAATTTGTATTTCTCTACTTTATTACATAATCAAGCAACTTTCTGGCTCTACAATCTTTTGCTACTGTTTCACTCTTTAAAACGCTACTAACAAATCATATTCATTTGTGGCGCATTTTATACTTCTTTGTATATTTCTTCAACTATATTCCAGTTATTCTAGTCCATTACAATGATACGTAGCCACATGCAATGAATTTCACTGTTTTAACTACATCAACTTTTCAGTGTTTTTTTTCACTTTAAAAGTGGTTGATAAGAATATAATGGATTAAAATGAAATAAAGTTGTTCCACTCGAATCGCTCATAAAGATAATAAACTTAACTAAATTTATGAAACCCAATATAATTTTTTGGATTGTTAATTTGTTATCTAAATTTCTAATTAAAGTAAGTGTCATATCTTGAGCTTAGATTCTTAGTATGTCGTCTAATACTTGAGCACTAGAACGGTAGAACCCTCCCAAGTCGCAAATCAGAAGACGAATAGGAAGAATGTTATTCCAAACAGTGTCTCTATGACACGAACCTGGAACTGTTCGAAACGTTTTTCTTGACGATCCAGCAAGGCTTCAAATTGTTCAAAGGTAAATGACATCTTGATACGATAACCCCGTCGCCAGTTGTTATATCCATTGAGTGCGTTCTTGTCCTGTTTATATCTGAACGTGATAATACCGCCAATTAGATAGCAGTGAAATTATTGGTCTGATTAATGATATACAAAAAAACGTACGAGCAGTCTTGAGTACTTATCAGTCCTGCTTTCTGCATAGCCCAGCCAGTTAAGTTCAGAACACCAATAACGGCCTCTACAATATGAATCATTATTCTCAAACATGCTGAGTTTACATGACAAACAAACTAACCACATCGCGCCATAAAATAGAAAATAACATTTGTACAAGATTTGGCCAAATGTGGTTGTGAATAGGGGGAACAGTAATTAATAGAATTGGGACAACCCAAGAATGGTAAATTGTATAATAATAGTCTGTAGGTCAAAATAAAGCTTATAATAAAAAGGACACAAATATAAATAGTCTAGTTACTTAACAATAGGAAATACAATAAGATTTATACATATCACATTGGTCCATAAATATACCTCAGAGTTACCATTCATAATCCTCCACGGGATATAACAGTTAGTAATCAAGTTGAAAGCAATTTAATATTTTTTTTAAACTACAGGGCTATTTATAAAATACGTTTGTTTACATTTACAAACGCTACCAAATAATTAGTATGTAGCATATATTTGAATCGAATTATAATTTATTTAAAATTATCAGATTACTTATCAGGCAAATTATAAGTAACATACTTTAAATGAATGAATAATCTAGTTTTTAGGAAAACCAAATGTTCAGTAGGGGTTTTGCGGAGATTTCAGTATTTTCATAGTTGAAATCATGAGTCCATTGAAGCTAGAACACCATCGAAAATCTAGAAGCACTGGACGGCCTAGGACCTACCAGTCACACGCCAAGTCAAATGTTCATTGAAAATTTCATAGAGGCATGAAATAATAAAGAACGGAGTGAATAACCGAAAAAAACCAAATGTTTTTTTATATCTATACAAGAAGAAAATATGTAATATGGATAGTGAATGAATCGGATAAGTTTATCAAAATATTCAAGAATAATGAATGTAATATTTATAAATAACAATTGGCAAACTTATTTTAACTAACAATCCATAAAAGTTTGTATCTTGTATTTCATAAAGAGAAATATATTTACCCTTGGTGTATACACTCTTTATCTTCCCTCAAACCTTGTGATTGAAATTGCTTCATATCTGTCTTTCTTCTTGTACTATATCCTTATATACAACCTTTCTTTTATATATTATCACCATTAAATTAACTATTTCTATGAATTCGATGTTCATCTTATTGTGCTAATGAGTGAGGTATGGCAACTTGGACCGATGCATATATATGCCCAGTCCTACGTTGTAGCTGACTGATTGACTGACTGGATTAGATTACTTGGTTTTAATTATTGATTTAATATATTTTTATGAGCAGCTGATGAGAATTGCTTGATAATAAAACATTTCATTTATTTACTTATACATTTATAATGTTTTTGTCTATATAGCCTAAAAAAGGTTTATTATTTTTCATTTGGATGTTGCTTTACGTTGCTTTCTTAGTTTGAAAATAAGTAAACAAAGGGGATGTTATTATTATTATTATTATTAAATATAAACACAAAAAAGTCAACTATGTATACATATGTATCTATGTATTGTTCTTAAGGTCAGGGATAATTATTGATTGTCTCATTAGCGTAATTATGTCTCATAGATTCTATCTTACCTAATTTTCAAATGTTGTTTGTTATGTTTTCTACAACTTTACGCTAGGTTACTCTATTATGTTATTCATGAAAAACAAAAGAACGAAGCAAAACAGTCTTAATTATAATAGTGAATGTGAATTATTCTTATTAGTTTCATGTTTCAAGTAATGGAAAACATTAAGCACAGTAATCCATAGCATTATTGATGTTTTTATTGCATTCATTACTCTATATACAAAAGCCAACATTTTTGAAATGGGAAATATTATTCGTTGAAGTCTAGCTTGAGTAATAAACTCTTAAAGAGACTTCAGAGTTATGAACTCGATTCTAGGTGATGCTGTGAGCACACAGTTTCAAACAGCTATCCAGTACATTACATGTGTTAGGTTTTTTGCTTGGTTCACTTTATTCCATCACATAAAATAACTGTTGTAATACCAACCAGGTAAATAACTGATGAAGTCCAACTTTTCCATTGAATTCCAATCTATATCTCAACTTCACTATTGATCA